GGGGGTGGGGGGGGGGGGGGGGGGTGCGACGTTATTTTTAACATAACAGAGGGGGGTTAGAACTAATTTTTTTTGTTTTGGAGGGGGGTACTGTCTAAGTTTTTGCTAGATAACTCTAGTTTTTCAGCCCCCGCTCCTGATAATTATTGCACAGTCCCTAACTAATGGCGAATATAAACAGATCTTACACTTGCAAAATTAAAAGGGTAATGATACAAAACGACTAATTACGTACCAGTGACGTATACTCTGGAACGTGTAGGTCACGTGGCTGTCTTGGGTCCAGTCCTTCATCATACCCCGCCATAACCTAATAATGCGGCGCAGCTACGGCATATATTAGCATAAGTTATAATTAAATATTAACTTAATGATTTAAAATTCAGTTGTTTTAACAACAGAATTCAAAAATTTTTAAAATACCATCCTCAGTTTGTTGTCAGTCACTATCGCTTCCAGATTCGCTTAGCTGGAGGTCTTCACCTGTATAAAAAAAGTGCAAAGAATCTTTTTTTTACCTTAAATAAGGCGACAAGTATTGATTTGTTTGAAAGTGAATGAAGCATGTTGTTTTTTTGTAAATGGAGATGAACTATCCAGTAAATTATGTATAAACCTCCTGATCTGCTTTTAAATTTATTTAGATTGCAAGCAGGCCTCCTTGTTTCCTTTCCTCAAATTAATTTATCATAAGTGATTAATCAGCACGCGAATCTTTCGTTTCTTTTGTATAAACATAATTTATTCACCAGCTCGAGCAACTCGCTTTTTATCATTAAAATCCGGAAATAATATCTGAATCAGCTTAGGCAGCTTCTTTTCCCCGAAAATGAATTTACATAACAAGGTGTTTGCCCTCAAAACTCCCTTTTTGGCTCACGTACGGTGAAGGTAAAGAAATATTAAGTGATTATTAACTCACGCATCTCTCTGTTTCACCTCAATTTGCATAATTTGCATAAATTTTTAAATTTACATAAACCAATTTTCGAAACAATTTTAAAAACTCTCTTTTTTTAAAAAAAAAATTAAGAGGCTCCCAATTCAGTTGATTCTACGTTTATGGGTATCATTTCCTCCAAGCAACAGTTCTAGTTGTGGGCAATTTCGCTTTTTACCTTTACGAATATCTCCGCCCATAGGACAGTCACTACAAGGGCTACTTCGTGAAAAGCCTGTGTAAGCTATCACGTGACGTTCTTCAAAGGGTGTACCTTCCAATTCGTGTCAAAACTACTCAGACTTTTCATTCCCGAAAAAGAAAGCCTTAATGCAAGGTTGCAGAATACATCTGTAATGCCTCTATTAAGCCAGATTTTAAGCGGGTTACTGCATCGCTCTAAGAATAGGTCTAAAAATCGAGCAAAGATGGACAACCGACATTCTGTTGGTGGTTCAAGGTCCTTAGAGGATGGGCGCAAATTAAAACGACTTCAAGACAATCGTTTCCACAACCGTCGGCTGTACGACGAAGATTCTGGATCAAAAAGTCGGTCGGCACTGACTAAATTTTCAAAGCAAAAGAAAAATCGTCTCAGCCGCAGTGAGCCATTCGGAAGTGACAGTAACGATTCCAGCGTTGTTGAGGAAGAGGAGGCTTCTGCATCAAATTGGGTCAAGCAGAGTGTTTCTCGCCGTCACGACAAAGAAGGCAGGAAGGGGGATTTTGACTATGGAAAGTCGACGATGTCATCAGTACAAATGCTTGCCAGATGGGGATCTGATCGCACTATCTCAAGCGAAAGCCCAGATACAGAGACTGAAAGAAGAAAGAACAAACCAGAAAACAGAGGATTTCGTTCGGACCTTCAGTTCAACTTGCAAGACACTTGCCAAGAATCTAACATGGCGCTAATAGTGAAAAAATATGAGCTGTGTTATCCCTCTATAGCTCTAGGAGTAGAGGTCGTTTACACATCGGATAAACTGGAAGTTAAGAACTGGCTAAAAGAGCGTATTAAAGATTGTTCTGTCAGTGCCATTGGCTTTGATATTGAGTGGAAACCTCAAATTGTTAGCAAGAAGAACGGGGGAACCGAAAACCCGACAGCCGTCCTACAACTGGGAACCGAGAAATCTTGTTTGGTTCTACATATATATCACATGATCAAGTTGCCGAAATTGCTCAAGCGAATTCTAAAAGACACAAAAATTACAAAAGTTGGAAGCGGTATAGAAAACGATGGTTTCAAACTCGAAAGAGATCGAGGTTTGGTTCTTAAAGGATTGGCAGACATCCAAATGATTGCAAAGGCAAATCATCCATCGATGCTTAAGACGGGCCTGCAAGCACTCGCTGATCGCTTTCTTGGAATTAAGCTTGACAAGACGGCAGCATTCAGCGACTGGGAAATGTTCCCCCTTCAGGATCGACAGATTGAATACGCTGCTCTGGATGCCTGGGTCGCATTAAAGATTTTCAACGAAATGAAATGCAACATGTAAATGTATTTACACGGCTCAATATTATTTTTGGATGATTGCCGGACACGACGACCGGCCAAAGAATCTTTTTGCTCGGTCAAGTCTCATTTATTATCGGTAAAATATGGCAAAAAAGTTAACTTATCCTTCTGAAATTTTCTATTTCTGAACGTGCTTATGTTTCTCAGTAGAAAGGGACAAAATCTAAGATTTACAGGTTAAGGATTTGGCTGTTTTCTCAAGAAAGAGTTCATGCGTGGCCGGTCATCATTAGGAACCGTCTAGTGACGTTTTTGGCAGGTCAGGTCGCCGCAAAATAATTGTCCGTTTTGAGCCCTGATTTATTAAGCACGAATAAACGGAAGGGTTTGTTATACGATACGAGAAATACTGCTACGTTAAGAAAATACATACATGCTCATGAATGGTTAAACCTTAAGCTCTTGATAAATGAACGTTGAGGTTATTTTGTAAATACACTCCATGTTGCTGATAGGCAAGGTTTATAACGTAGCCTGCTTTTAAAATCCCTCACGAGAAGAAATGTTTCATCTGATATCCAGATTATTGTTTAGACCTACTTCGGTTACTGTACTCACAGATGGGTAGATGATAGAGCAGAGGGCAAATTTAGCATCGACAGAGAAATTCTTTTCATAGAGATAGTGTTACTCTAAGCGATTTGTCCGACACAAGATGTTAGCTTAATTTTCTAAGTAGGTGGAATAATAAAGATCGTCCAGTAGGTGAGGGTGCATGTACAGCTGTAGTCCAAACATTGGGACCGTTGCTTACAGTGACTGACGTTTCCCCGACCTGTGCCCGGTAGTCATCTTTAGAATCAAAGTGAGACGGACGAATCACGTCAGTTGATGGAACCTATCAATATTCTTTCAAGTTGCAATCATTTTAGCTCTCTTAATCCGTGGCCAAAGACAACCTTAAATAGTTACATTTCACTGGCAAAGTATACAAACCCAATGTATTTGAGAAAACAGGAACATTTCAGCCATGTTTTCATTATTGCAGACATTTCTTGGGGGTGTGTCTACTTCTTTCCCCTTTAATTAACACAGGAACAGGGAAAACAGAGAGTAACCTGGGATGAAGCAAAATTTTTGCGTTCTCATAATTGTAAGATTTACATCACGAACTTCATGTTTCAAGAAAAAATCTTTATCTAAATTTGGATAGAACGATTACTTTTCTGTCTTTTTGTGTATTTGCCCACATAGACCACATACTGGATATCCTTTTAGAATGGTAGTAGTTTCTACTTACAAAGTGTGTTGAAACCTTCTTTCTTGGTTAAAATATCTTCGTCACCAATCTAAGCAGAAACAGCAAATGAAAAATTAATGTTGAATTTCAAGGGGTTGCGTAATTTGTAGTGGCACGTTAATTTTGTAAAAGTAGCAATTTAATATACATGTATCATAGAGAAGAAAATCACAGTTGATTTCTATTAAACGCCTGTTTTTACCTTTAGCTACATTGGGTGTACTGTTTTGACTGTTTTCAAATCTATTTGTTCAGTTTTAAAGCTTTAATTCAAGGTACACTAGAGCACTTGATATTCATGTAATATAATTATACAGAACCGTAGGAACAAATAAGGTAATGAAGGTAATGTTAATGGTGGGGTTCTATTGGCCAGGGGGCCATGCTTGTAGACAAGTCTAGAGGCAAAATCCTCCACCTGAAAAATTGACGGGGTTGAGTTTGAAGGGGGGGGGTGCGGGGGTGCCGAGGTGCGGGGGGGCTGTACCATAAGAGTAGTTTAACTAAGCATGAATTTTAAAATAACAATGTTCATTGGTAGTGACTGAAATACTTACATCTCCCATTAAACTGTTGAGTTTCTCCACATCCTCGTCAAATTCATCTTCATTTTCATCCTTTTCAGAATCAGAACTATCGCAGGAGGATGATGAGCTTGAATCCAATTCGGCAGCAGGAGCTGTGTCATCTAGTTTAGCACTCGTCTCCTATGCAGAGTGAATTTTAATTGATAATGGGTTATTTTGTGGTGCTGCATCAGGGAAGAGTGATCAGGGGTTTCGATAAAAATTGAAGTTGCCAGCAGGTTTGAATAAAGTAACCAACCGTAAGAAACTTGTGAAAAAGTGACTGAAGTATAGCGTTCACGTCACTAAAGCATAACATAAAACAAATCATAAAAACATTGCCATTTAGATTTTGATACAGTATAATTATTTTATGTTTATGACATTAATCAAACTAGTTGCTTCTTCTTTCTAAGAAAAAGGAGCCAATTCCTCTGTTCAGAGTAGCTGGTGTGTTTCATTTTGGTTGTCAGTGCTTATTGAAAACCCGAAGTAATAACAAATTAATTTTTTGTTATCTGCCCTTCCCTCCTCTGAAGAAATCTTGCTAGGTTATGTACAGTGTATCAATGAAAAATGGGGTCACTCCTTGTTCTTTTTCTCAAGTCTGCAATGTAACATGTATCCCCCCTTATCTTAGCCTCTCATGCAGGCATTTTTAGAGGAGCTCTTATTTCACCCCTCCCCACAAACACCTGCTCAACCGAGAACAACATTCCTTTCCCATTGTTTTATTCGCGTGGTAAGTGACCAATCAACAGTTGTTTTGAAATAAAGTGTTGACAGGCTACATACGACTCACAAGCGTGTGATAGTGTAAAAATGTGACCCTAGAGTTACCTTTTTCCTTCTTTTCTTTCATTCGCTAAGGTTATGCAGTGCAACAGAGTATTCTAAAATAATTATCTGATATAATCTTACTTTTGCTGCTCTGAGTCTAACACTCCGCCTTATTGGAGGTCATAGAGCTTTCCCAGTGTTTCATGCAGATCGAGTAATATCGGGTTACCCTGTGGTCAAGGCCAACTTTCCAGAGTTTGGAAGGTACAATTTGATTGACTAAGCTTTGGAGAGGAATATTGTTCTAGGTTGAGCAGGCATTTGTAGGGAAGGACAAAATACGAGCTCCCCTAAAAACACCTGCGTGGGAGGCTACCCTTATCTGAGCATCTGGCATTACCTATTCACTGTTTAGTTCAGCCCATGCGATGTTGCTAAGGAGATACGAAAGGCTTTGCTGATACTCTTGTCCTACCCCACACTAGTGCAAGGGGGTTGGAGGGAGATAAGTGTAACCTGCATTCAGGTGGTCCTCCTTTACTTTTGTTTGGGAGGCCAGGGGAGAAGTAAATCAGGCTTTGTTTTTTTGTGCACATACCACAAAGTCCCTAAAAAAATACCCACCACAGGAGTGTGTGCCCCCCCCCTCCCCTCAACATTGCTCCATCTTTTTGTTCTGTTAATTCAGCCTGCATGTATTATTTAGTTGTGTGACAATTCAAGCGAATAGAATAGTGAAATTAAAATCATAGTTATCAATGATGTACACATAAATATTATCTATTGTAAATACCTGAGAGTTTGGAGTAGATGTTGACAAGTTTGGATTCTTTACCGGGGAAGCCTTTTTTGACAATTTCTTTTCCACTGGTTTTTTCTTTGTTTTAGTTTTCTGCAATTTTGTAAGTGTTGCAGTTGAAGGCTTTACAGGTAACTTTACTGGCTTGGCTGACTTAGTTGATGGTCTACCAATAGCAACATACAATGTACAACTTCAACTTTAACCATTCCCAAAAGTGAGCAACATCACCTTCTCCTACCAACATCAATGACACTGTCATCATCAAGAGAAAAGGTTATGAGATTTGAAAAAACTAACATCAAAGGGAAAATGCCTTGATCTTATATTCTTTTCATTCTTTAAGGAAGTGCAAGGGGATCTGTCTCAAGAATTTGTATGTGGATATTGGGGCTGAATTGGTTACAATGTATATTAAACCTTTTTTGCTCCCCCCCTCCCATCCCCAGAATGCACTTTATTTGAAAATCAATGAATTTAGCACAAAAGTACTAATTGAGAACACTATATTAAGGTCTCCTTCAGGAAAAAGGATACCATTTTACATGGTCATCTGAGCCACACGAAGGTCTAGCTGTTTACAGGACCAAGGAAATACATTCATTCCTTAGTTATTTTTATTAACACCTTGAGTATTAGGGAGGCCTCGGGAATCAAACCCACAACCTACCACTTTGCAGTCAAGTGCTCTAATGACTGAGCTTATCCTGCCATGGCCAAAGTGAAAATATAAAAATGCTTGATTAGGGGTGGGGGTTATATAGAAAAGCTGCTGTTGCCTTAATATCCATGTAACCTGCATAAAAAGATGAAGGGGAAGGGGAAACTGCAGTGCCCAAGAGCGTGAGGGGTGCGTGAGAAGGGGGATAAGGGAACACTACCCCTCATGTTGCATGACAGAATAATTATTCACACAGGGAAGGGGGAATGTGCCAAAAAAGGCTGAAAAGGACCATACCTTACTTTCTTGAGTTGTGGAACAGCTGACTCAATTCTTTCCAGTGTGAATGTCTGAAAGAAATGAAAACATCAGTTCCATTGTTAATTCGACATTAAATTTTATTTCTTGTACGATCATAATGTTATTAACTGAAGGCACTTCAATTGTGATTTGATGCATTGCCACAAACTATGGATCGTTGTTACTGACAAGTGGTTAGTACATGAAGCTAAGCAGACTACTTTGAACAAAAGAGTGTTTCTACATGAGAATAGAGTTTACTTCTCACATGATTTTTCCTGTACTCCAACAGGCGCCACCTTTTCATTTTATGGTACATCAATATAACCGTTGTGATGTCTTGTGAAAACAATCTATACAGTAAAGCCATGAAGCCTTAAACTTCAAGCAAGCCTCTTAGCACCTTGTATCTTGAAGCAGAGTTTACGTTGCAGCGTACAAACAAAGTAGTGTCCAATAGCCTAGGTCAGCTAGCGGATTTTGCTATCAGGCTAGTGAGTTCTGTTCTTAAGTTGCCCGATGGGCAAGTGATGTTTCTCCGCAAATTAAAATCACAGAAGATCTGTAATCAAACCTGTTCATCAAAAATTGTTTTTTGTGGTGGTTGAAATGACATTTGGGCCAGTACTGCTAGCTACAGCTTTCCCGAATGGCAAGCTGTAAAACTGACTTTCTTTGCACCCTATGCTGTGGCCATGTTTCTGGTTACTTTCTCAGGGAGAATGCTTTGACACTAGCATCCTATCAACAGCAGTACTACTAGTTTCGTCATCTGAAACTGGCAAATCCAACAGTGTTGGTTGCCTGTGGCCCTCATCTATTGTACTTCATCCAAGTTAGAATGTTTCACCCTTTAAGCCCTAAGAGTGATCAGTGTCAAATTTCTCCTTGTAATATCACTGCTTTATAAAACAGAGTGGTCATGAGAGTTAAGGACATGATCACACAAGATGAATCTAATTGATACTTCAACAAATTCTCCCCACTACTTCTATTGAAAACGTACAGGGATAACAAATGAGAATTTGAATTTTGATGTTAGGGTTTAAAGGGTTAAAAGTTTGAATGCCCCATGATTTAGCCATACATGTATGTTATGAACACCACATTACTTCTATTTTTTGCAATGTGTGTTTGCCTATGCCCCATCTGGAAATCAGCTTTTGTTGCATGTGGCTAGCATAGCAAAATAAATTTGTTGATTGATTGATTGATTGAATCTACACGTACTGAGCCCCTGTAATAGTGATATCCCAGCCTTCTGATATAATGCAAAGGGGTGATTTCACGCAACATTGCAAATCACATTTCCATAAGAAATCAATCTTCTGACTTTGAAAAATAATATTGCATATTTTAGACTCTACAAGAACACCTGTGTTTTACAAACTACTGATAAAAAAACACCCCAAAATCAAGTCATAAATAAAAGGTAAATCCATGATTCTAATTACATTTTACCCTACAATAATAATAATAATAATAATAATAATAATAATCAACTTTATTTAACAAGGGTAACACGGGACAGAACTTCAACTGAATAACTAGTGGTCCTCAAACTAAAATTATAAAACAAAAATTAAGTAACAAAAAATACATATCTACATATACATATATACATATATGAATAGGACTAAAAAGAGTAAAAACTATATTACAATATTATTATAAAATATCTTTACAATGAATATCTACAAACTATAATTACAATTATCATTGTATCTCGTTAAAAAATGACAATAAATAGCCTTTCTAAATGAGGTTACACATGTTCCTTTCTTTAGGTTAATAGGCAGAGAGTTACACACTCTGGTTGCAGACATGCTAAAAGTTCTCCCTCCCTCAGATTTATGATTATATCTGGGGCAGACGAGGTTTAAGGCACTGTACCGCCCACTGCGTGTGTGTAAATCTGCATTGCATTTAAGAAGGTCATACATGTAGCTAGGGCAGTTTCCTTGTAGGCACTTAAGGACTAGCGAACACTTAAAGACTTAAGCTTCGTCATAAAATGGGAGCCACCCTAAGTTGTTACACTACACTACATCTTTCATACCACAAAATTATACAAAATAATAATAATTATTATTATTATTATACTAACTTGTACCTTTTTCTCTTTGTCAACAACCAAGATAAATTCCTTGGTGCAGCTTCTTTTGGATCCTCGATAAACTGTCGTTCCAGAATCCTACAAGAAATAAAAAAATCTGGTCCCCCAAATTGGTACAGGACTTAATCTACTTTTACCCACTGAAATATGTGCTTGAGCACTATAAAAGTTTATTCTTACTGCATTACTAAATTGAAATTAAAATAAAATGCCAAATTGGGTGAAAAAATTGGCACTTGAGACAAATGTTAGCTTTTGATCAAAGGCAATTTTCAGAAACATTCCCATTGCAAATGGGTTTATAAAAAACAAAATCTTTACCTGGACATGGGGAACTGTTACTGTGATCTCATCTTTTTCACCAACAACAAGTTCAGCTGGTCTTGAGGTGTCAACTGAAGCAGGCTTAAAATCATCTAGGATAACAGTAAATATAGTATCATTTACTAATAAATAACTCTTTTGCTGGCATACAAAAGTGAATCATCGGCCTGTCCTGAAAATATAATGTTTAAAATGTTTTTTCAGTGGGTTTTTTAGAGTGACAATAATTTTATTCATTTAGCCTTGTGGGGTCACCTTGTTTAGAGGTCAGGCTACACAGACCCCCAAGAAGCAGGCTTACTTGTGCAAGTTTGGGGAAATTTTCCATCATGCGAGGAAAATGGGCCGAGGAAAAGTGAGCCTGCACGTAAGCTATTGATTTTTGCTTACCCACGTTTACTGATGAACGCAGCGATCTGATTGGTTTTAAGGGACAGGTGTCGACAGGCAACACAATTGTGACAAAACTATGGACACACCGCACAAACATTCACACATCAAATTTAATGATAAAAAGAGTCAGTAGGCCTGCACTATTTTTGCCTCAAATACCGCTTAGTTTTATTTACAATTTTCTCTCAAATGGATAGATCATTATGCTCTAGAGGATTCTTAATTTGGACTGAGCAAATTCAGTAGCCTATTTTTGTCCCTTGTCTCACACTGAGAGGTCATGAAGTTGGTCTGTTTCACACAAGGTCATGTTTAGAAGCCGCCCTGTTTCTAGCAGGTAGATAATGCTATGGGGGTATGCTTAATTTTTACAGAGCAAACGTTATTTTTTCCCCTTTTCGAAATAAAAGTAGTCTGTGAAGTCGTCTGATTCAAAAAAATTGATCTCTTTGGTGTTTGTTTCTCACCATATTTGACCTCTGATGCATATTAGTATGACATCTGCATGTGCAACTTCTGTCAGTTTGTTTACTTTTGCTTTGCTCCTATTGGATAGTATCTTGACACCTTGAAAGGGACCTAATTAAAACATCAATAGCCCACATGCAGGCTCACTTTCCCCCGCTGGATGTTGGCTCCGGCGCCAAAATAATTTTCCCCAATTTGCACAGTGGGTGTTGGCTCTGCTGCCAAAATAATTTTCCCGAAATTCGCACAAGCGAGACTGCTTACAGGCTACAGGGGGGTATTCCTGGGAATTCATGGTGCGGGTGTGCCACCCAGTTCTCCAAATCTTGACCCCATTTCAGACCACAAAATTATCATTTTCCACACCAGTTCTCAGACTTGGCCTCTAAAATCCATACCTGTTTTCAGACCTGGTGTAGGCAGAAATTATGTTATCCTTACATGTACATGTTATATTTCAACGCCAACAAAAAGATTTCTTAAAATTCATTTCGAATTTGCATATCAATCCTCATTGTTTCTTATTCATTTGGAATTGAAAAAACAAAATTAATCGTTTATGTACTCCCGTTTTCCCTCGAAAACCATACCTGAATTCAGACCAAAATAGGCAAAGTCTACACCCATTTTCAGACCAAAGTGGAGCAAAAACCATACCCTTTGGGGCAGCAAAAACCTATAAGGCAAATATAAGGGCCTTGGTTCAGCATTCACGCCGCTCTAACTCTTAAGAAAGGCGCCAGGTACGCAGACTATTTCGTTCCCAACAATGATACCCGGATTGATCGACGTCTATTTTCTCCCACGGAGATGCTCGTTCGGCACAACAGAGCGAATAACTTTCCAAAAAATTAAATTCAATAAAGAAAAAATATTCCAGACATTGTCTCTTTCATGTCCTCGTTATCCTTTGCTCTCATTTTGGGATTAAACGTTTGTTTCTCCCTATTTAGCTTTAATTTTACAAAATAAACAGCTGCCCTCTCTTCAGTTCTAACGACACAACGTGTGAACAACAAATATTGCAAGAAACTCAACCTTACAGCGTATGGTGTGAAAAGCCATCTTCGGTCCTCCTTTTGAATGAAAGCTACTCCCGAGTTTCAGTTCAAAATCGTCGTTAAAAGGAAATTCGCTGCTGTTGCTTGAAGCCGCCATATTGGCATAACATAAGTCAGCAGTAGAGAGTACAGCGGCTTCTTAGATGAGTACATGCGCGTTTCTGTTTCAACATGGCGGCCGAATGATGGAAAATGAAAATTAAAAACTAAATTAAATTAAAATTAAAAACCCGGGAAAATGAAAATTACTGTTGTGCAAACCAAAGAGATATGAGCTGAGAGCGATTTTCAAAAAAATTGCCAGTTGAAGGAGGAAGTGTTGAAAAGAGCAGTTAAAAAAATGATCATCGTTGAAAAGTCGCTCTTATGGTGCACTTTAAAATATGAGCTGTAATAGGAACTGTGTCAACAAGAAGTTGTGTTCAGACTCTAATTCAGTCGATCAAAGGTTACACCTTGACAATGGACTTTTTTTAAATGAACTGCCACAGGAAAGTGTAAATGATCTAAATGTAAACACATCTGTTCTTCTGATTGAACCATTTTATGGTGGGTCGCATAAACAGCTGGTCGATTTACTCACAAAGGAAATTCCAGGCTGCGTGTTGCATTGTTTACCTGCAAAGAAATGGCACTGGAGAATGCGAACAGCCGCTCTGTGGTTCTCTCAAAATATTCCCCACTGCATGAAATACAAGTAAGTTCTGCATCTTTGTCTGCGGAAAAGGAAAAAAAGCATTTTTTCCTACAACTGAGGTCAAAAGTGTTGGGACACCCTTTCCTCCCCAAACAGTGTTGAATTTTGAGAAAAATGGGAGGAAACGAGTCCTTAATAGCCCACATTCGATATATAACAATCCTAACATGACTCCAAGACTTTAGGGTCAAAATTGCAATTTTTCACCACTCCATTGTCTTGCAATTCTCTTTAGAGACTTGAGTACACAGAAAACCAAACCAAATATAGAAAAATGCCCAGAAAGCCTCGGAGTCATGTTAGAATTTTAATGCATCGAACGTGGGCTATTGGCCACAACAGTGCTGGGTTTAAGTTGGGGGACGAAAGGATGAACCCAGAGTTGATCAAAAAATTGTCATTAGGAGCAGAGTCCTGTGTAACAATTATTTGGAAGCCTAGGGTTTTTTCACACACTCCCAAGTTCAAGTTTGACCTTCATTGTCGCTTTTGATGTATCTGCACAGTTAACCTTGCAATACATAATTATGTGGGTTGTGCCTACCCAGATTCATGTGGATAAGGTCTAAGAAAGCAATAGATAATACATTGTAATACTATTGAAACAATTTAACAAAAATATGTTTCATGTCTTATTGATTACCAGTACATTTTTTAATGATACACAGGTAACCTTACACTTTCCTAAACAGGTTTCTCACTCTGGATGCATGTATAAAGTGATATTACCAATAAATTAGTTAGTATTGGTAAATAATATCTTTTTATATAAATTTACAAGCTGGTGTTTTCAGGGTGATGTTTGCAAGCTCAGTGCTGAATTTAGCTGAATTAGTTTCTCTGAGACCTGACTTTGCCCAACTGAAGAAGGTCCTTTACTTCCATGAAAATCAGCTTATTTATCCAGTGAGAAAACAACAAGACAGAGATTTTCAGTATGGCTACAATCAAATTTTATCATGGTAAGGTCAAAGACCAGCTTGGTTATTTTACGCAGTATCGTCATTGTCATTGTCATTGCCATCATCATCATCATCATCATCATCATCATTATGATAATGATAATAATAATAATTATTATTATTTTAGATCAATAATTCGTTGTCTCTTGACATCTTTTGTTGCTCAAAAGCTATCAGGGTTGAGAAAGAATCTAAGACAAATTTGTCTTCTAAAAACTTAAGGTAAACTAAAATCCTATCTAGCTGGAAGAATACTGGTAAGCTGTTAATTTTCAAGCATGACTTTGGAGTTGAACACAGGACCACCAGGGAACATAAAAATCCAGCTTGAAGTCAGAGCAAGACTTGAGATTGCAAGTCCTGTGCTGTGACCACTTGGGCAAACTGCCTCCCTCCAGAATTAATCTTTTTTTGTGTTTTCCTTTTGTTATGATTACTATTTTTTGCACTGCTTTTGAACTGTATCCCTCCTGGAAGTTTGAAAGTACCTTAAAACAAAACAATTACAGACAGCCTAATACTGAAAATAGCCTGTGTAGCAGGTGCTTGGAAATGATGGGTGTGGTAGAAAACGGGGCAAGTGCACATGTCCGCCTCGCACACACCATTGTTCTTGCGCCTATATTACTTGCAAGTGCCTGTTAACTCAAGGTTTTTGGAAAACAAAATCTTATTGCATCCATAAAATAAACAATCGTATTAGATGTTATAAATTATTAAAAAAAGGTTGTAACACTGTGCTGAACATTAGCATGTTTGAGTTATCAAGTTTGACATAATGACACTNATCATCATCATCATCATTATGATAATGATAATAATAATAATTATTATTATTTTAGATCAATAATTCGTTGTCTCTTGACATCTTTTGTTGCTCAAAAGCTATCAGGGTTGAGAAAGAATCTAAGACAAATTTGTCTTCTAAAAACTTAAGGTAAACTAAAATCCTATCTAGCTGGAAGAATACTGGTAAGCTGTTAATTTTCAAGCATGACTTTGGAGTTGAACACAGGACCACCAGGGAACATAAAAATCCAGCTTGAAGTCAGAGCAAGACTTGAGATTGCAAGTCCTGTGCTGTGACCACTTGGGCAAACTGCCTCCCTCCAGAATTAATCTTTTTTTGTGTTTTCCTTTTGTTATGATTACTATTTTTTGCACTGCTTTTGAACTGTATCCCTCCTGGAAGTTTGAAAGTACCTTAAAACAAAACAATTACAGACAGCCTAATACTGAAAATAGCCTGTGTAGCAGGTGCTTGGAAATGATGGGTGTGGTAGAAAACGGGGCAAGTGCACATGTCCGCCTCGCACACACCATTGTTCTTGCGCCTATATTACTTGCAAGTGCCTGTTAACTCAAGGTTTTTGGAAAACAAAATCTTATTGCATCCATAAAATAAACAATCGTATTAGATGTTATAAATTATTAAAAAAAGGTTGTAACACTGTGCTGAACATTAGCATGTTTGAGTTATCAAGTTTGACATAATGACACTCCAATGAATTTCACAGTTGATTGCATAATTTGTTTGTCTGGCAGTCTGGTAGCTGATGTTGTTGTGTTCAACTCCTCCTTCAACATGGAATCATTTCTATCATCAATCAGCAGCTTTCTGAAATTAATGCCTGATTTTCGACCTAAGGGACTAGATCAGCTTATCAGACCAAAATGCAAGGTTCTTTACTTTCCTCTGATGGGAAGAGAACAGATGGGAGAGAGTTCAAGTGCAGAGCAGGAGATTGTACATGAAGTTCCAGCTGGAGAGATTTATGAGGAAAATTTGTTAGTTGATACAAATGGTGAAAGGGTAACAAGAAAGAGTTTGCAGTAAACACTGTAATTCATCTCAATAGCTATTTATGATACTATTATTTAAGATAAGCTACGTGTAGTTTTCTCCCTAAAGCCCCTTGCAAACTGACGTAAGATTGTTGTGTCCATTTGCACATAGCTAAAAGTTTGACCAGTTTCAAAGTATTGTGCAACAGCTCACAAAAACACAAAGCAACATGCAACAGGGCGTGCAAACAGATGCAACATGTAACATCCAACAATGTTGCGTCCGTTTGCATGTAGCATTAGGTTACGACAACAACAACAACTATAACAACAAAACTTTATTGAGAAGAAAATAATATAACAAAAGAACTGCATTAGCAGCTAGCATGGCTATTCGAGGCAGGACAGTGCATACAAAAAATAATAAAATCTCAACATGTTTAAGGATTAACAAGGCATAAAAGAAAGAATTAAACTATTAAGTAATAACAAAATGTAAGAGTAGAAACAAGTAGACAAAAAAAGTGAAGGCACATGTGCAAGAACATGAAGCCTGGAGCTCGAGAACCCTTAACACTGGTGACAAGCAGCATAACACATCTTGTTATGCCATAAGTTTTGTTCTTTTTTTTGTACCAAAGATAGTGAAAGTCAACAGGAATTCACCTCACCCAGAAACAGAGTCAGATATGTCAAGACCCTTGCATATAGTTTGGGCTCACCGATGGTATGTGCTTCCATTATGATTTCTGTATTTGTTTTTGTGCGACTGGCCATTTTGAGGGTGTGCATGCAGACTAGCTATAGAACAATAATTAAAAAACAACACCAACCTGGGAGTGTTTTCTGGGGTAAACTTTTGACCCAGTTTCCTGTTCAACTTTGTAGTAGCTGGTAAAAGAAGTGAAGGCTTCCCTCCAAAACATTGCCATTAATGTACAAATTGACACAACACTGACCCAATCTCAGATGCAACCTCATCTCACTTGGCCGTTTCATAATCAATAATTAATGGCTTGTTGAACTAAATAGAGCCTGTTTTTATTTGCATTCAGCAAGGTTCAAGAATGTTCATTTTGGCACTTGTATTTGCATTATTTTAATATAACTTTGTATAAACCTAAGTACAGGCATCAATAATATTCTTCTACATATACAGACACTGTACATGTATTTCAGACATTCATTTTGTTCTAGGAGATACCAAAATCCATACAATCCCTATCTCAGTAACAAAGATAGCTCTGAACAGCCATATGCCAGACATCAGTGTTTAGGAACATCATGCCTTTGGAGTCCATGTACATGAAGGTGGTGTGACTTTACAAGGACACCTACAAAAAGCCACTACTCAGGGTGTTCATTAGGCATACTACAGAGAATTCACTGGCTAACGTTCAGTAGCCTATGAAGCAAGCATCAGACTTAAGTATAAGGAGCCAGCATTGCCGAGCAGTTAGAGCACTGGACTTTCAATCCACAGGCCCTGATCTTGAGCCCCACCCTAACTGCTGGCTGGATATATTTTTTTGGTAGTTCTGTGCTCACCAGGCTGGTATATAGCCAACTGGTTTGCCTGTGGCCACTTGAGATTGTTACTAATTAAAAATTATTTTATTAGTTGTTTGTCTCCTTATTATCTTGTGGACCACAATGGAAACCATCGGTCAGTAATTGTGGTATATACCCTTGTGAAATATAGTGTATTTTTGTAGGAAAATCTGTCCAGAAAAAGTTCATAATTCTCTAAAACATCAATAAAATTTATTTCTCTCACATTTAATTAACTAGGGAACATGACAAGGGTCCAGATCTGTTCTTCCACACTCTTTATCAGCTAGCTGATCAGAATTTGGAATTCAAAGTTTCTGTCATAGGAGAGACATTCTCAGAAGTCCCAGGTATGCGGACAGCTGAAGTCAAAGTTCTTATAAATAATACCATAAATCCTATATTAAACCAAACAAACATCAGACATCATAAACAATACATCAGACATCAGATATCATACATCAGACATGAGACTGAAGACTTCAGACATCATACGTCAGACATCATACACCAGACAACAGACATACATCACGTACATCAGACGTCTGACATCAGACATCTTACATCAGACATCTGACATAGGACATCAGACAACAGACGTCTGACATCAGACATCTTACATCAGACATCTGGGCTCGGACAAACACCAGACATCATACATCAGAGAACAGAATCAGACATCAGACATAATACACCAGACATCAGATGTCTGACATCAGACATCAGACGTTTGACATCAGACAACAAACCTCAGACACTAGACATTAGACAACACATCAGACAACAAAATCAGACATCAGACATACATAATACATCTGACATCAGACGTCAGACCACAGACGTCTGACCTCAGACATCAGATGTCTGACATTAGACACCTTACATCAGACATCAGAAATTTCTACAAGTTGTGGTTTAGTTTTAACCTCACCACAACATTTTTTCACTAACTGAATATACTTTTCCCTCTGTTTAGAAATTTTTGAAGAAGCCTTTTCATGTATCAGAGAACATATTGTTCACTGGGGCTACCAGCAATCTCGCCAGGAATATGTTAATGTTCTAAAGAATGCTGATGTGGCTGTCTCTACTGCAGAACACGAGTTCTTTGGTGTTTCCATGTAAGGTGACTTGATTGGATATCACAGAATATGTGCATGTACAAAATGTCACTTACGATTGTACTTGATGTGTTTCCAATTCCAATATTTGCATTTTTGCAGGCTGGAGTCGGTGCAATATGGCTGTTACCCACTATGTCCAAATAAACTTGTGTACCCTGAGATATTTCCTGGTAAGTTGACAAATAAATGTATTTATGTTTGCAGATACTAAGTGACTATACTGTTGTCATTTCTCCACCAAAAGACGCCTCGGCTGCTCACAGATTATTATTATTATCATTAATTATTACTATTATTTTCATTGTAGTCAGTCGGTCTAAATCTATATGTGTGGAAGCTTATCTAATAAGTGTTAAAAAAGAAAACTCCCATAATCAGGTTCAGTATGCTACCCGCAGCCTCTAACGACAGTTTCTCACTTGTGACGTTATAAGTGAAATGGAATCATCAAGGAACCTTCTTGCACGTGTGTGAATTAAAAAATTGGAAATGCAATGGGAATAGGAATCTTCTGCTACTGATTCCGGGACTTATGATCTAGTCAGAACTGTTGAACTTGTACAGAAAGACTAGTCTATTCCAATACTCAGCGGGGGAGGGGGGGGAGGGGTACTCCAGATTTTAAGTGACAGGGATGATCGAATGGGGGCAAAACTCAAAACCCAAAAAAATCCTGGACCAAAATTTAACACCCAAAAAATCCCATGCCGAATTTCCGAGCATTAAAAAATTCCAGAAAGCATTAAATGATGTAACTATCACGGATCTTCAGATCGTTTTGATTATCCAAAAAAATACGTGTCAAAATTTTCCTACCCAAAAAAATCCTGAAATCGAAAAATATCCTTCAATCATCTCTGTCACTTGAAATCCGGAGTACCCCCCCTGGGTTCCAGTAGTGAGTGCAAACTTCCCGACAATGTGAAAACATACTCTCACTATTACATCTAAACAAATGATAAGAATGAAAAACTTTAATACTATAGTGTGTCCCAAAAAGAGTTCTCTGTTATTGAACTACAGTCCCTTAACAAGGTTTGGGGTACAAAGTTATTCAGTGTTACTATAAAGTCTCATCCTTTGAATTTTTGAGGATACTTATGTAAAGGATGCAATTTGCTTTACTTTTAGATGAATACCTGTACTCAACACCACAGCAACTGGCCAAAAAACTAAGATATTTTTGCAAGAATCCACGACACGTGAGAACACACAAAGTCATGGTAAGAATACGTGAACAAGTTAATTGCGCACTTCAGTTTATGAAATATGCAGTGTTATTGATTACTGAACATGATCGTGGGACTACTTTTGCTTTTGCAACAAACACTGCGGTAAAACGGGGAGCAAAAACGTACAACTTGTTTTGCAACATTGCTGTAAAAAGAATTGAAAAGTAATGTTGCGTGTTTTACCACCCACGTTCAAACCTGTCTTGCAATAAATCAGATTGTTGCAAGTTGCGTGAATAATAGAACAAGGGGGTCACGCTATACACGGGAATTACGTCACTTAATGCAAAACAAGTTGGCCTTGAGCCGGTAAAACGCGCAACATGTGTCAGATTTTGTTGCAAAAAGTGGAACTACTCTCTACTTTCTGCAACAACTTTTCGTAACCTGCAACAAGCTGATTTGTTGAAAGACAGGTTTGAATGCGCAACATCGCTATTCAACTTGTTTTGCAGCAATTTTGCAAAACAAGTTGCACGTTTTTGCTGCCCGTTTTAGCGTACCTTTAAACCTCTTGTAGACCCCGCCCTAACGAGTGTCACGTACTTTTTACCCGTGCATCGGTTATATTTTTCCCGCGCTTTGAACTGGGCGCATGTTTCTTGCCAAATCCTGAGCACTGCTTGGCGCTCGCTGCTTTTTTTTTCTTTACCGCTCTAAAGACACTGGCTGCAAAAGGCTGTCTGTTTTCCATGTTTCCCGCGCCTTGCGCTGCTAAGCATGCCGCTGGTCTTAATGAGGCTTGTATGTTTTGTCCCGCCGATATAAGGACACTAATTTAGTTTTACTAGAAGTAACTGATAATTCAAAGGCTGAATAGAGTCATCGGCCTCTTGAACAAATGTGCCGGGTCAGCTTCAAGTTTAAGTATTGTTCTAATTGTGCGACTTCCCGTTTTGCAGGTTGATTGGAGACAGTTCTTGTGGGAAAAACTTAAGGATCAATTCATTGAACTTTTGTCTCCAGCGGATAAAGAATCAAACGATAGCGAGTCTAATTGATAGATGTCGTCGCTATTAAAACTGGAAGCGCGTCACAGACAAAATAATTTTGAAATAATTTATCAGGAAAATCCCCGAAAAAATTATGAATTGTTACTGAGGAAGCTCGGTTGACATGATGTGGCAATAAAGATTGAACTATTGAAGACAAAGGGTGGCCTTTTTTAAAGGACCAGAACGGGTACTGCCCCGGACCAGCCCGAGTTAACACATTAAGCAGGAACAGAGCGTAAGATTTTGAAGGTGTACGTACTAAAAGAGACGTTAGAGCGCATTCGTCTCTCTAAACTAGGCACGAGGGGGCCTGCACGCATGCTCCCCCAGAAAGTTTTTCAATTTGATTTAGGGTCTCGGAAATGCCATTTCTTGCCGCCGTTGTCCACAGGACATTTCCAGTAAACATATACGAAGGAAAATACAGTAGTTAGTTGTTTATTTTACCCACCTCTAGACTTATCGGTAAGGTACAGTGTTTACGGGAAAAAAAGGGTAAAACAGTGACGACATCAAGTAGGTTACCAGCAACGGGCGAGACGTTGTGTGCCATTGGGTTTTCCAGGGACAATAGCTGTGAACATAACATGGCTAAGAACCCCGACTAGCTGGAGGCAAGTCAGTAGGATATTTTTTTTTTAAATAAACGTGGCCGAGAATTTGAACTCGGGACGAGCGAGAACGAATCCTGCTAGCAGTCAAGGTAGGACTTGAACTAGGGGCCTCTGAATCACAAGTCCAGCGCTCTAACCGCTCGGCCACCCCACCTCCTTAATTTGTGGTATCTCTGATCTTCTCATAAGCATAGGCGACATTAAGAACAGTGGCTTCATCAAACTTTCTTCCAACAATCATCATTCCAACTGGTAAACTCTCGCTAAATCCTGCGTTGATTGACAGAGCTGGGTGACCAGTCACGTTGCAAGCACACGTGTTTCTGCTATTGACATATGCTAGTTCCAAGAGCTCTACAAGACAAACGTTGAGTGTTCAATTATTACAAAGAGCCCGTTTCCCGTAGCTTTCATTTGAATACTTACACCTTACAAAAACCCTCTTAGAAATACTTCACTGAATATGACCTGCGCTACACCTTCTACCGCCGCATTAGGACTTCATCCATGTATAAAAACTCGGCACCTTGTACAACCTCATAAAGAGTAACGCCGGAAAAAGCAACGAAATACCGTATTTATTCGATTAACCACCCTGGGCGCTTATTAAATTTTTAGACCTTGAGAGGAAAAGTTGGACGTCACGTTACCATGGTAGCAATATTTCTGGATCACAACAATAGGGAGTTTAAGCAACGACGACGGCGACGGCAACGAGAACAGTTAAAAAGCAATAAGTTTACACGTGCATCACGCTTTTTTGTACATTTCTTAGCCTTGGTTGCAGGACGCGCTTGCTTTATGGAGTAGGTAAACACAACAGAAAAATTTTCCTTTTCTTTTTCTTAACTTAAACACGGTCCTTTTGGATTCAACCCCAGACAATTTCGCCAACCTTTTCACAAATTAAATAAAGCTGAATAAGATCGATTAAGTTTTAAAGAGTGCGAATTCACTTCTTAAGTGAATTTTCGGTTTGTTGTCATCCAGAAATTTTGCTACCATGGGAACGTGACGTAACGACTTCTCTCTATTAGAACACAGGATTCGTTTCATCTTGCCCTCTCGCGGAATCAGCCATATTATAAATGGAATCACTGTGTGTAGTGCTGTTCAAGATGGTTCTTGTGTGTGGGTGAAATTCTTAAGTGCGAGTGGAGAGATTGTGTTGGTTACCCAGATCAGTAATTACGCGACTTCCAACATAAAAAGAAACAACCTTACCTGACAGCGAGCCACTCTCCTTTGGGAAGACTAAAGCCTTCTTCGGAGCTGTCGGTAAAATCAACACGTCATACTTCTCCAGTGCTTCGTCATAAGCTCTACAAAGAACTCGCCCCAGGTTCTGCGCTTTTCCATAGGAAACGCTGTTGTATTCGTCGTGCAAATACTTTGCAATTAGCCTAGCCATTTTGCCGGTTGCTGGCAAGTCGTTGGAGTGGCATTTCAGGCCTCGAAAAAAAGCCTCTTGAAGAGTGGTGTCATAGTACATCTTTCCATATGAACCAAAACCTAGAAATAGTGTGCCAAAAACGCCTTTATTTAATTGCCAGTGTATATATCATGGAGTGGTAATTCATTTATTAGAGCGCTGTTTTTGTTTTTTTTTTACCCCCTTTGGAGATGGGCTCACCCTTTCTACATGGTCATTAGACCCACTCCGGAACCTTAAGTTCCCTAAAACTAATAAAACAAAATGGTTTTTTAACTACCGTGAATTAATCCCCTAAGATGAAAAGAACAATTACTTACCAGTCCCTTCGAACAACATTCGAAATCCGACGATAAGATGCCTGGCTGCAATGTGAAAAAGAGATTCCTTGAAATATTGCATTTTCTACGTTTTGAAAGGAAAAGATTGAAAGAGTCTTTTTTTCCAAGATAAGACCGCGAGCAAGCTCCTCTTTTTAATCGAATTTTGTGTCCAGAGATATCAAGCGGGGGGCAAAGCCGTAAGGCATGAAAAGTAACAACTCTAGGGACGAGGTTGGTGGCCTAACCTGCGCGCAAGCTTTCCATATAATTTTGCGAGCAAAGCGAGTCGCGAGGGAACGGGTGAGCGAGGGTCACTCGCCACTCGCGCGTTACGGGTGATCTCGCAGCCTAACAGTTCAAACATATAGATCAAAATATTCCGATCAACAACCATTTTGCCGTCTGTCCTCTTTGAATGACTATTGGTGCTGGTCTTTTACTTCTAATTGGGTAATTGACATATGGAGCGAAATTATAGGACAGCTGTCGAGGACTATCCACTGACCAGTGTCACCCGACTGTATCGCGGGCTCAAGTGTACAAATCATTGAGGTAACGTGTTTTTTAAAGTTATCCGCTGACTAGTTATTGGTTTTAATTGATCGCATGCTCAGGTCCGTAATGAAAAAGCCATATGATAAATAATTTAATGACTTGGTCATTACAGGGAAATCTCGGTCTGAGATTTCTCTGTAATGACCCCACTCTCGGTTAATAAGTAGTATTTAATATCCTTTTCATATCAAACGTCTATTTACATAAAAATGAACAAAAAGGTGCCAAACTTAAGCCTCACTGCGACTCAAAGGCCAGGTCACTTTGGACTACAAAAATTTCGCATTTGTAAGCAGCCGTCAGTTCCATAAGATGAATGACATTACCGGTAAATTTCCCTCTTCCCTGCACTTCTCCGTGTATTTTAATATTGTACATAATCATTATTATAACTCAAAGTAATCTGTATTGTAAAATTTTTGACATACCACTTACCATCTGAATGCATTGGGATTGAAACTTCCTCGATGACTGTGCCGCATTTACTGCTCAGTTGTCCAGCGGCTTTCTTCACCATCTCGTCAACATCCGGCTCAGAGATGTTCAAACTAAACCCTTCTTTCAAGATTCCTATCTTTAGATTTTCTATCTTTCCTGTCAGCTGATAGAAAACATATTATATAGATAGCGTCAATTTGGTTGGTTCTGATTTTCGATTGAACTCAGTGAAAACTATAATAGCACAAGATTTCTCCACCGATTGCAAAGCGCAGGATAGCGAAATTAAGCAAACATGGTGTTCTCTTCTTGACTTTTTCTTCGCCAAGAATCACTGTAAAGCTATTACAGGGCTTCAAGTGGCCTTAAGCAAAAATATAGGGCTAAATATAGGGGCAATTTTTCAAAACTATAGGGCCAATATAGGGAAAATGATAAAATAACAGGGAAAATATAGGGATTTTTTAAAGCGTATTTTATCCAGTGCCAGTTTTGCAACTCTGCAGAAGGTAAGGAACACAATAGATCACGAGTAGTCCCCCATTTTTCCTCAGGGATACTAGAGCGAGCGAAACGCGAGCGCGCGTGAAAATCACCCCACGCCGGAAAAGGCGACGCGCGGTGAGGAGAGAGATTTTTCTCTCTCCCCGCCGCGTGTCGCCTTTTCTCGCGTGGGGTGATTTTCACGCCCGCTCGCGTTTCGCTCGCTCTACTATCCCTGAGGAAAAATGGGGGACTACTCGTAGTCTAGGAACAAAATACATTTTAGTCCAACATTGTGAACATTAGTAGAGAATAAGGTCACTAACTTTGGACACGCAAAAAAATGTACCTAGATTAATACACACACTGACCCTAAAGAAGTACGGTGAAAATGCTGTTATTGTGTTTTGAAACCGTTAGAATTCTTTCTAGGTGAAACAGTGAAATTGGTATGCCTGTACAACTTTAACGTCATGTTCAAGCCCCTTTTTATTTTCTGGCGGGTAGCTCATGCTGTGGACTTTTTCTCACATTGAGAGGGCATTAAGCTGATTTGTTTTAAACCTACTGATTTCTGGTGGTTTTTGTTTCTGACAGAATGTGACCACTTTTGAAGCGTTAACCTTGATACTGCAACTCAATAACCCGTTGATAAAGGTTTTAGTTTCTATAGTTTGCTCCAAAATGCTTGAATGTAGAGTTGTTTTGTCCCTTTAAGCAATGACTCCCTGCTATGTTTCGTTGGGCTGGGCCCAGAGTTTTAGAGACGCTTGCAAGATGAAGAATTCTAATGAAGAGTGATCTACAGATCCAAACTTAAAAGAAGGAATTATAGCTTAAACCCGAAGCTACACCAACAAACCAGGTATGGAGAATTGTACTTGACGACTGATACCCTCCACTTTTTTGTGGACAAGGCGAATGTTTGGAGTGGAGCACAGTGTCTTTATATGTAATTCCTTTTGCTTGCGAATATTTGGTTAATCAAAAGTGCCACTTTCTGATCAGGCAAGACCACGGTTCTTGTTCTCTACGTGAACCTTATCATTTGCAGCATGGGTTTTGTCTTCCGTTGCAATTGAAGGAGCAACATTAGTCTAGAGAATGGTACAGTCGTTCTGTCAGACTGAGCTTTAACCTTGCACATTATGAGAGATACCTCATCTCAACCTCGTTCCCAGGGTTCTCTCCTACCCGCTCCATGGGGGCGGGTAGGAGAGAACCCTGGGAACGAGGTTGACCTCATCACAGATTAAAATTCTTATTTTCCTACGGGCTACTTTAAAAGCAACCAATTATTGACCGATCCCTTTCCATTTGAAAAACGAGTGCACACAAAGTTGCCGCATACATACTCCTTCTAAGATCTGAACAATATCTGAATAAAGAATCACTGCTCACAGCAGCATCAAATTAAGTATTCTTACGTGCACTTATAATAAACTTATTACCAGTCTTGGATGGTCCGAAAAATTCACTGTCTTTGTCACATTCC